TAGTAAATTCAAACAGGGGGGAAAGAAAAGAAAGAAAAGAAGCAAGAGACAGCCATTGCTATTTCCCGCTGCTAAATTACATGAATGGCTTATTGTTATTAAAATTAATGGTTAGAAGACTTCCAAATTGTCAAGGCGACTTTGAAATACCCTCTTATCATCTTTAGCAACCAGTTGTATAATTAATCCTTCTATCATTAAAGTAATGGTAGAACATTCTCAACAGTATTTATCTGGTCTTTAACCCTGTGTACAATCAATCACGCCTGCTACAATTACTGTCTTGCAATATTTCCAGCCCCAAAAGGCTTTGATGAAGTCTGTGATAATGAATGTGTAATTAGGGAGGATCCAATGCCAGCCTGGGGGGGAGGGGTTTGAGGGGAGGAGCATCAAAAGGGAACAAGTTGCGACTATCACAACTTCAAAGTACTCTTCAGATTCAAATACTTGTGCCTAAAGGTCCAATGTGACATTCAGCTTCTGACAGAATGCGACCGTTTGCTGCTCTCCAAAAAGTTACAGGCTCCAAAAATTCTACTAGAATGGGCACTTAGGCACCAAAAAAAGGAACCTCTTTCTTTACACAATTTTGTCTATTCCAACTACATGCCAAGCAGCCAATAGTGTGCAGAACTCTACTCTTAGTTAAATATTTCACATGGAAAGCTCTAGACACACATGGTTTACAGTACACAGTAGAGCAGGGGTCACCAACCTTTTGGATCTCAGGGACCACTAAATTCATAATTTTAAATCCCGCAGACCACTAATATGATTTTTTAAAAAGATAAATAGTATTTAGTGCAATATAAAAAAATGCAAATAATTTTTCTGCCGATCACCAAAATTGTCTTGCAGATCCATGGACCACCAGTTGGTGACCGCTGCAGCAGAGAATACAGTAGACACCTGTAGGTTAGTGAGTTATTTTTATTTTAACTAGGGAAATATTTCTCAGCCTAATTGGGGCTACGGCAGAAGACACTTAGCTTACCAGTCAGCCTGGAGGCTGCTAGGTTGAAATAATGGTTGTCTACAAAGACTTTCTAAATCACGCTCCCTTCCTGAGGAAGCTTATCTAAAAATGAATTAGGTTAGGTTTCTTGGAGTAGAAAAGAAGAGGATGACCAGCATTAAGGTAGGTAGACTCAGTAGTAATGGATGAGTACACCATTCAAAGAGTAGAAGAATCAGATTAGAGACAGACCATCATGCAGAAACTTGATCTATGCAGTGGCGCAGTGGTTAGAATGCAGTATTGCAGGCTAACTCTGCCGACTGCCAGCAGTTCGATCCTGACCAGCTCAAGATTGACTTAACTTTCCATCCTTCTGAGGTTGGTAAAATGAGGACCCAGAGTGTTGGTGGCAAGATGGTGACTCTGTAAATCGGTTAGAGAACATGTGAATCACTATGAAGTGGTGTGTAAATCTAAGAGCTATTGCTATCATTTGATCTGTCAGGGTCTTTGAAGGAACACAAAAAGTGTGCCTTCAGAAGGGTTATATTAGTCCAGCAGCCTGAAACTCAGGCCTTCCATAATGGCTTTTTTAATTTGCCTTCCTTTCTCTCCCCATTTTCCCCATCCTTTCTGCACTGCTTCCTGAAAATCTTGCCAATTCTTCCCATTATCTTTTAGCCTTCTCTCCTTACCAATCTCATTTGGAAGGAGGAGTTTCACCTGCCACAGCTTCTAGAAGAGAGTTTGAGATTGATAACTTTCTCTACTAATAACAACAAACATTGCACTGTATTCTGAAAAAAGAAAGAACACGAGAGAGCAGAAAGTTTAGGATTTCTAGGTGAAAGCCCTCCTTTTTCTCCTGTGTTGTTTCTCCTATATCCATTTTTCACCTCCTTTCACTTCCTCTTTTTGCAATCTGCCACTGAAACCAGATCTTCATTGGACTGAGAAACGTAACACCGACTGCAGTCATTTTTTGTTGGGTTTTGATGCAGATGTCAGGGAGAGAACATGGTGTTATGTGAGAGACAGTACTACAAATGCATGTGAGAGGTTGTGTGTCTTTGTAAGTGCAGATGCACATGTGTGTTTGTGTATATGTACCAGTGATGACGAACCTTTTCAGCACCAAGTACCCAAACTTAAATGCCGGAAACCTGAAGACCAGCTGGCTAGCGCACGCATTCCTGTTTTTTGGCCGTTTTTCAGGCCATTTTTGTTCCGGCCTAAAACGACCCTGAAAATAATCTAAAAATGGCCCAAAAAATTGCATGTTTTTTGGCCATTTTCTGGGCCATTTCAGGCCATTTTCTTGCACTCCAGCACCCACTAAGACCAGCTGGCCAGTGCACATGTGCGTGCCGGAAACCAAAAGACCAGCTGGCGACAACGTGCTGCCCCCAGAGAGGCTCCTGGTACACCTCTGGCACGTGTGCCATAAGTTCGCCATTACGGATATATACCTTTACTTATCACCTAGGTTTACTCTGTTTCAGCTGTTCAACTTTGGTGTATTGACTGGTGTACAAAGAACAGGACTCAACTGGTTGGCTTAACAGGTACTATAAAATAAAGCAAACAATTGTTCACAGATGTATTTTATAGCTTGCTTTAAAAAACAAACACATGGGTATAGTTTCTTAACTAAACTGAACATTTCTTGAATCAACAGAAAATACATAATACAGAAATAGATTCTTGGGAAAGAAGGGGAAAAAAAGATTGGAAATAGGCCCACTTCCTTATTTCTCATGGATGTTTACGAAAATAAATTGGAAACAAACAGGGAAACATCTGATATTTCAACCATCATTGTAATATGTTTTAATCCGTTTTAATTTTCAGTAGAAATTCTCATGCCACAGAAGCTTCATCTCGTCTGGTTTAGCCATTAACCCCAGATGCAACACTAGTTATTACTGACAGAATTCTAACAGTCTATGAACCTGTGTGAGTTTTCCATTAAAAAAGTGAAGAAAAACATATCTGCTATTTGGAATTAAGTTTGCCCCGACAATAATTTCAGCAGAAATAAACTCCTGCTACCTAAAAGGATTAGGTTAGCAATAGAAAAAAGTGTCATTAAAAAAGAGTAAGAAAAAAAGAATTATTCATAATTCAGTTGCTAATAGATCATGATAATTTCAAGGAAGAAATCAATGCAAATGTCTTCAATGGGCTATTCAATCCTATTTCCTCTCTTTTGTTTATTACTCCCATATACATGAAAGTAGAAGGGATTTACACAACTCATATCATTCTTGAAAGCCATATCTGATCTGCTTTGGAGTTAATGAAATTCTGCAGTTTTTATAAAGACTAGAAATATATAGCTACTAGGGAGAAAAAGTAAGTGAGTTTCCTGAATCCTCTACTTTCTTTTCTGATGTTATTGATATTGGGATGAATACAGTCTATTAAAAATCTCATCAGGCTTTGAAGTAATCCAGGATCGTGACCGTTCTGTTTCATCAATCATTTGTTTCTGAATGGGACTTCACTGAAAAGCTAAGCCTTGGTAGAGCAATATTGAAAGCAGTTACAGATTTTTCTGGAGAAATAGGAAGACATGCTAATATCTGTATCTCAAGTGTTTTGGATTTACTTTTATTGCCAAATTCTTATATATTTCTTTGTAGGCATATGCTGATATTGCCTTAAGCTCCGGAGTTCAGAAATGCTTGTTCCATTTTGGACCTCACAGAAGGAGCACAGCAATATAAAGCGTGAGATATATAATTATCCTGTCTTTTGCAATTCTGTAGTGTCCAAGGTTGCTCAAAAACTAGTAAATGCTCACTCATCCAACAACTTGAATTCCTGGCGCTGTTATGAGACAGGATGTGGCAGGTGTTTCAGGCAGCTAAGGTTAGTTAGTTACTTTGGGCACAGTAGGTGAGATGTTTCTCTGTTTTTTTTTCTGCTGTATGTGCCAAAATAATTTGCTGTCTTTGGAAATATACCTTGACTTGAGTGGAGCTGTTTTAAGATGTCCTCATTCATTTTTATATAACTTCTTTCTGAACTGCTCTAAATGTTTTAGATCTATCCTTTTCAAACCTGGCAACTTTAAGATGAATAGGCCTCAACTTCCAGAATTCCTCAGCTAATGTGCTTGCTGGGGAATTCTGGGAGTTGAAGTCCACATTTTTTAAAACTGCCAAGTATGGAAAAACACTGTTTTAGATAGAGAAACAAGTGGCTGTTTGATACTTTTCCTGCTTCATTCCCTGCTGAGTGATCTGCTGTACATTAACAATGAAATTGGGGCTAAACCTGCAATTCTAATAGCTAGATGGTGATGTGCAGATATGTTTAATGACATGATTTGAAGTATTTAGGTATAATGACCATGGCCATATCAAATGGGTTAATTGTATTATTAAGTCTGAATTCAAACTGTTCCTATGGCACACCATAATCTAAAACCCTCTCCATAAAAAAGTTATGCTACAACAAATAACAGGACACTTTGGGTATCTCTGAAAAGGGAAAGATGTGCCAGTACTTCTGCAAAGGTAAACATATCAGATGTAACACCATCGTGATAGCAAAAATCTATTCACTGATTTGAAAATATACATCAAGCATTGCTGATTTGTCTTCCACTGATAAGGTAACCAATTGTCCAAATGCTGCTGAACTGATTTGAAAACAAACAGTGCAACCTATAATTTGATTTTATTACATTCTAAATCCAATGGATTTAATTAAAACACGTATGAAATTGAGTGGAAATGCACTGCAATTGTTTCAGAATCTCAACTGTAGGCAATATATTAAGCTATTTACATTCCTGGAAAAATCAGAGCTAACATTTAGATACATATTTTTATAGATGTGTTTTAAATCCTACTCATGGCTTTTAAAGATCTCATCGGCTCCTCATGTGTTGTAGTTCACCACAGAAGCATACTATTTTAAATATTAAATATTTTAACATTGGAATAAAGGGCGGAATAAAGATTTGAAAAGCATGAATGTATGAGAACAGCCTTCTCTAGCCAATGTCTCATAAACCTGTTGGGACCACAACTCCCAGAACCCCCCCCAAATCATTATAGTGACTGTAGGAATTCAGGGAGTTGTATTTCAACAAGCAACAGAACACAACACCTCAATTTTGTCATACCACTATTAACCCATAGTGCTTCTTTATTATCTTGAGAGAGAGAACACAGAAAGCAAAACAAACAGCTAACACATAAATAAAAATAAACAGCTCAAGAAAATTTGCCTTGTACATATTATTCCCAGGTTCCAATCTATTCCTGCCCGTATGGACTTCCACATTGGGGGGAGGGGGAAGGCAAGTAAATGTAAGTAGGCAATTGGCAACATGAACAATTAAAGAGTGATGACTTTCTAACAATAATTAACACAAATTCAAGGAATGAAGCCTTTGCCTTTCTAAAGCTAATTCACACAGTAGTTTTCCCCCCGCTTTGCTTGATTGCCCTTGAACCTGTGGCAGGAGGAGAAAATATCGTAAACCTGTACCACACATGGCAGTTTCCCGAAGGAATATTTAGTGGCACTGAGGACTTGGCCCCTTCTGCATAGTCTAATTTCTGAACCACCAGCTTACCCTGAATGTTTCTTTTCTTCAGCAATGGCAGCCATGTTCTTCAACAATTCTTTTCAGCAATGGCAACCATGATGTTCGACAATATCAAGTAGCAGACATGATTATTCTTTGGGGAAAAATGTCTCTTTCTCTGTCTCTCTCCATGCACACAATAAAACCCATTATAAATTCCCATTCCATTGAATGGTGTATATAATTGGAGGGGCACCTTTGTTCTTTCTGCCTTTGGACTACTTCCATCAATTAGTGTGTCCCCCCTGAAAGGAATTGTGGGAGTTACCTTGCAGGCAAATGCTTCCCTACCTCTGCTTTGAATTTTAATACCAAAGGCATACATTATTTTCCTTAGCAGGTGCTTATTCACACTGGGTGTATGACTCTCGTATATGTGTTGCAAGGGATTAAGTAAAAAAAAAAAAAAAAAAAGCAAAATGCTCTTAAAATTCATTCGGTTGTGTTTTA